CTGCTCTAGATGTAGGTGAACTACAATTCCAAAACTCAACGTCAGTGCCCACCAAATCCTTCTAGTATTTTCTGTCGGTCATGGGAGTTCTGTGTGCCAAGTTTGGCTCAATTCCATCATTGGTGGAGTTCAGAATGCTCTTTGATTGCAGATGAACTATAAATCCCACTAACCACAGTTCCCAAATGACAACATCAATCCCGCTAACTCCACCAGCATTCTAATTTGGGTGTATTGGGTATTTGTGCCAAATTTGGTCTAGTGAATGAAAATACATCCCCCATATCAGATATTTATATTACGATTCATAACAGTAGCACAATTACTGTTATGAAGTAGCAACAAAAATAATGTTATGGTTGGGGAACTGTATTAAGAGGAATTAGGAAGGTTGAGAAACACGGATGTAGAGTAACAATGGTCAAAATAGAGCTCATGGTCTCTTTTCTGCCCTGCCAAAAGTCCCCTCATTCCTACCCCCAATTTTCCATAGGGGGGAAAAAATCCACCCAAAATGTCCAGTTTCCTCTCTCTTCTCCACTCCCAAAGTTGAGAGTGTGGTTTACTACACACTTCGCCCCGCCTCCAAATATATTTGAACTATATTGGAGAAAATATTTTTGTTATTCTGGATCTCTTATAGTGCCAAGAAATTGCCAACATCTTTTCATTGAAGAAATAAACGTTTCGACAAAGAGCCACTGATATCCGCTTTGATCCAATAATGATAATAGATGATAGATTGGCTGGAAATTAAGTAAATTGTTGCCTCCCCTGATGAGCCACAAACCCCAGGGCATGCTTCCTGCAGGCGGCTGAATGCTTCCAACGCTGTGGCAGGCAGGGAGAAGCTGGTTTCTTGCATTAATTATTCAGCGTTTCATTTATGCCTCATAAATAAGAAACTCAAATGAAAATGTTAGATGTCAAATCAGTTTGGTAATGAATAAAGATACCTTGGATATTCTCTCTCTCTCTAAAGTTTAGCTTTATTGAAGGCAATTGCAAAAAGAAATCGTAATAGCCAAGAAAGGGCAAATATGGGTTCGAAAAAATAACACATCTTCCTCAGTATAAAGTGACTCACGAGAATCACTAATTGACAGCTTAATTATTATTTCTGAAAATCTCTGAATGACAAGGCATGGTAATTTCAGGGCAGGCTTCAAAAAGGGTAGCTAGCTATTCTTAGACCATCAACCAAAGCATTTTTTTCATATAATTTTTATTGCAATAATAATAATAATAATAATAATAATAAGCCTTTATTTATACCCCGCTAACATCTCCCGAAGGACTCGGCGCGGCTTACAAGAGGCCGAGGCCCAACACATCAATAAAACAACAGCATAACAAATACAACAATAAATAAACTCATAAAGCAAGCAATAAACATTAAAACCATAGCAATAAACATTAGACAATATGACACATTTAAAACTAAGGCCGGGCCAAATGTAATGATTAAAAATTTCAAAAATGCTGGGCATGACAGGGTGAAATGGATAGGTTTTTGGAGATAGATGTGGTGTGCAGACAATCTTAAATCTCTAGTAAAATGCATTTGGGACATGATGCTTGGAGTTTCCTATTCTGGGAAGGCACACTGGAACAACCACATCTTCAAGCTCTTCCTAAAGACTGCCAATGTTGGGGCTTGTCTGATYTCCTTYGGGAGAGAMTTCCAGAGTCGGGGGMCCACCARGGAGAAGGCCCTGTCCCTRGTCCRCACSAATRYRGCTTGRYACGRAGGTGGGATCYTGAGCAGGGCSTCWCCAYATGATCGGAGAGATRYTGTMGGTTCATATACYGAGATGRGGTCARGCAYGTAGGDYYGMCCCAYACSYTRTASGGCTTTGTAGMTAAGCWCCMGRKKCTTGAATTGGGACRYGAAAATGAKRGGCAGCCAATGGAGCTCCTTAAACAGGAGGGTTGACCTCTCRCTGTAAGGAGCACCAGTTAACAACCTGGCCACCGCCCYTTGGACCAGTTGGAATTTCCGGGCCGTTTTCAAGGGCAGCCCCACATAGAGCYCATTACAGTAGTCCAATCTGGAGGTGACTAAGGCATGGACCACCCTGGCCAGATCCGCCTTCACGAGGTACAGTCGCAGTTGGCGCATGAGTTAAACTGGGTAAGGATACAAGAACCCCTGGTGGCGCAGTGAGTTAAACTGCTGAGCTGCTGAACTTGCTGACTGAAAGGTCTGCGGTTCGAATCTGGGGAGCAGGGTGAGCTCCCGCTGTTAGGCCCAGCTTCTGCCAACCTAGAAGTTAGAAAACATGTAAATGTGAGTAGAATAATAGCTACTGCTTCAGCCAGAAGGTAACAGTGCTCCATGCAGTCATGCTGACCACATGACCTTGGAGGTGTCTATGGACAAACTCGTCAAACTGTTTGAGGGCCGGATTCTAATTTGAAAGAAAACCACGAATGAATTCCTATGAACACTGCACGTACCTAATTTGTAGTGCAAAAAACACCTAAAAACAATACAATAATTAAAATGAAGAACAATTTTAACAAATATGAACTTATTAGTATTTCAATGGGAAGTGTAGGCCTGCTTTTGACTGATGAGATAGGATTGTTGTTGTTGTGTTCTTTCAAGTCATTTCAGACTTAGGTTGACCCTGAGCAAGGGCCGGGTAAATGACCTTGGAGGGCTGTATCCGGCCCCTCGGGCCTTAGTTTGAGGACCCCTTTATAGAAAAAGGTTTCTATGATGTTTAAAGGGGGGGGGGTGTCATCTATTTTCTAATCTAAAACAGAAAGATAGAAAAGTGGGTGAAACAAATGAGATAGAAAAGTTGAAAAATGGAAAATAAGAAGCCCTAACTAACCCGCCTCTGCTGTCTTCTTCATAATCAAAAATCTATCCTTTTTGATGTAAATCTTCTTGTTTCTTGTAGATTAACTTTCCAGGATCATTTGGATATCATTCATATCTTGTCATTAACTTCACTTTCTTTTCTTGTTATTCCTATTACTAATTTCCCCCTAATGCTATAAAAACCTCAATATTTTCATTTTCTTTTTTCCATGCATCCATCCAGTTAGTATAGTCTTTAATCTATTTGCCAGTATTGTAGCAAATATTTTATAGTCAGTGGTTAGTGATGAAATAGGCCTGTGATTCTGGACTTGAGGGGATCCAGACTTTTTTTGAGGGGATCCATGCATTAGTCACCTCCAGATTGGATTACTGTTATGCACTCTATGTGGGGCTACCCTTGAAAACAGCCTGGAAATTTCAACTAGTCCAACGGGCGGCGGCCAGGTTGTTTGCCCCTGGAGGAAGACCCTCGTGGGGGGCCATCCAGTTGGCATTTCCTAGTTTAGCTGCCCAGAGGGATACCCTTGCTGTTGCTGGAGGGACGCCAAGAGGAGTGGTAGTTCTCATAAAGCTTTTCCTTGATTTGAGTCTACTGGGAGGAAGCTGGTAGCCATGTAGTGTGTGGCTTTCACAGTGTTCAACCTTCTTTCTCTCACATTTAGCAGCAACTTCCCGTCGTACATTGGAGGGGGGGGGGGCAATGCCAGCTAGCTTGTAGAATTTATCAATAGGTGTAGGTTTAAGACATCCTATGATTATTCTGCGTGTTTCATTCAACGCTATGTTCACCTGCTTTGCATGGTCAGACTTATGTCAAACAGGGCAGGCATACTCGGCAGTTGAGTAAGACAAGGCCAGGGCTGATGTTCTTATTCATTTTGGGTCTGCACCCCATGTGCTGCCAGTAAGTTTCCACAGGATGTTATTGCGTGCAGCTACTTTGTGCTTGGTGTGCCTAGAAATAGTACCCTCATAAGGGGAACATTTCTCAAACTGGTAAGGCATGTGATACTTGTTGCACATTACTGTGGTTGGAAACATCTGTCACAATATTTGTAGTGTCCAAGGCATCTTACGTATCACATTTCACCACTTGAGGAATGGCATTTCTCATACAAAGCATTTACATACATTTATATTAAGAATTTTTAATTTACTGCTACACTATAAACATTGTTTCCGGTGAGCATTTCTAACTATCAGTGAAGTGGTATACTATTGGTTAGTAACATTCTACTGGTTAGCAAACAGCATATAAGACAGCTTCTTCTGGCTCAGTCCATCAGACTGTTTTGAGATGCACAATTCAAAGCTGTATGTTTAATATTTCCCTTGTTGTGTGAAATGCAAAGATACAGAATGGGGGATGCCTTGCTTTAAAGCAGTACGTGTGAAAAAGATCTTGGAATCCTCATGGTCAACAAGTTAAACATGAGCCAACAATGTCATGAGGTGGCTAAAAAAGCCAATGGGATTTTTGCCTGCATAAATAGGAGTATAGTGTCTAGATTCAGGGAAGTCATGCTACCTCTCTATTCAACCTTGGTTAGACCACACCTGGAATCACATTGTGTCCAATTATGGGCACTGCAATTGAAGGGAGATGTTGACAAACTGAAATGTGTCCAGTGGAGGGTGACTAAAATGATCAGGGGTCTGGAGAATAAGCCCTATGAGGAGCGGCTTAAAGAGCTGGGCATGTTTAGCCTGCAGAAGAAAAGGCTGAGACATGGTGAGGGCCGTGCATAAATATGTGAGGGGAAGTCATAGGGAGGAGGGAGACTAGGTGTCCTGGAGGCTAAGACGCGGAACAATGGCTTCAAACTACAGGAAAGGAGATTCCACCTGAACATTAAGAAGAACTTCCTGACTGTGAGAGCTGTTCAGCAGTGGAACTCTCTGTCCCGGAGTATGGTGAAGGCTCCTTCCTTGAAGACTTTTAAACAGAGGCTGGATGGCCATCCGTCAGGGGTGTTCAATGCGATTTTCATGCTTCTTGTCAGGGGGTTGGACTGGATGGCCCATGAGGTCTCTTCCAACTCTATGATCTATAATTCTATGATCTCTTTAAACATTTGGTTTGTAAAATACAGGTGCACACAATGTGTATTATTACTATTAGAAAACCATAATAAATTTCCCATTACATTTTGTCCGTATGCAGATCTGATACCAGGAACAGAATATGGAGTTGGGATTTCAGCTGTGATGGATGGGAAGCAAAGTGTTCCTGCTACTATGAATGCAAGGACTGGTGAGTGACATACAATCAGAGTAACATAATTAACAACATGTTGCATGATGGGTTGCTTCCATCTGGAGTTCCAGCCAACCAGCCTACTATCTCCAACATAGGGTGGTTCTACACAGACATTATAATCAAGTTCGAAAGTGAATTAAATTGAACCCATTCTGCTGCAGAGAACCTTCACAATCACCGCAGGAAGTGGTTGGAGCCTGAAACAGAAGCCACAGTATCTGTCAATTATGGATCAGAACTGAACCTAGGAATGTTTCTTCTTGCCCAGTCCACTGAGATGTGCTGATATGCATCTCCATGTCCATTAAGGATCAGCACTACACTGTGGTAGGGCACAGGAAATGAGGACAAGGAGACGGAAAGCAAGAGTTCCCATGCAGTTGCTGTGGTTTCCTCTCTTGGGGGAGTAATGGTTTAGCTTCTGGCCAGTTCTGTTTCAGTGTTTTTTAAAGCATGTCAGTGCTAGCGGTGTCCTGACAAGCACTCTGCATTTTTTGGACTCAGATGTGAGCCTTGCTTGAGATATACTCCAATCAGCTGCAGCGCATTATCTGACTTATTACAGACTATGTGGTGACAATTTTTAGCATGCTGTTTCTGGCTGCTTCTGGATTCCCCAGTGGCGCCTTGAGTTAAAGCACTGAGCTGCTGAGCTTGTTGACCGAAAGGTCGCAGGTTCGAATCCAGGGAGTGATAAGACCTATAAGACAACCCCCAAGAGTTTGGGATATATTCACCGTATAAGACTACCCCTCTTCCAACGCATACCAAATAAAATTTTTAAAAGCATCAGATTTGATTTCAATATGGTAATTTTCCTATTACTGTACCTCCCTCTCTGCCTCTCAGATCTCGCACATGCGCACCTGCACCGCTTCACTGCAGTCTTCAGGAGTGAGATCTGAGAGGCAGAGGAGGAGGTACGGTAATAGGATGCAAGGGTGGGCCAGACAGGTAAAAGAGGTGTGTTTTTCAGGGCCCAGAGCGACTCCATCTCTTTTTTCCATACCCCGGGTGCCCCAGAAACCTGCAGTTTGCTCCACCCTTCACTTACACCTTCCCGGTGAGGTGCCCCTTCACCTCACCATCGGGACTGCATTAAGTCCATGAATCCTGATGAATTGATTTTGTTCTACCATACTTGTACAGTGTCGCCCTTAATGCTTTCATACAGTCGCTGCATACGGCAGGGACGCAGCCATTGCCATTTTTGAGCTCCCCCCACCATATGCAGCAACTAAAGATTCTTCAATCTGGATTGGAAGTTTCAGCACCTGCTCTATAAGACAACTCCCGTGTATAAGACTACTCCCATGTATAAGACTACCCCCACGTATAAGACTACTCCCATGTATAAGACGACCCCTGACTTTTGAGAAGATTTTCTTGGGTTAAAAAGTAGTCTTATATACCAGAATATACGGTACTTTTTGTGGACACCTTGCTCTCAAACTAGCTTTGAACTGCATTATAGTGTCTGTGTAGAACTGTCCCCGATCCCCCCTTTCCCATTTCTGCCTTTCCCAGGCAACAGTCAATATTTTGATTCTGTGCTCACCTGAACATGCTCAGTCCTCATTAGATTGATTAGATTTTTCTTTCCTTGTCCTTAACCTCTGTTGTGTTCCTTTTTTTGTTTGTTTGTTGTGTTTCCTTTAAAAAATACATTCCTCTGCAAACGTTGAGGTTTCCTGGTACCTCACACCTTTCTTGTGCATGAATATTCAGCTCCCTATGGATTTGCACTTGGCAAACCGATTTCCCTGTTAGTAGAAATGATAGCCTGTCACTGAGAGATTCCAAGTGGAATAAAACGAACCGTGTAATAGGGGCTTAGGCCAAAGATGAAAAAAAGGCTGCAATGATAGTACACGAATCCAAGTCACAAGTTCATACCATTAAGGCCAAGCATGCCTTCAAGGAGAAGCAGATTTTCTTCCTATTTAATAGTCTTCATTTAAAGAAATGTACCTCAAATGGTAGATCAGTGTACAGCAAGTTACAACAGGATATACAAGTAGTCTCAAAAAATTCCGATTTGGGTGATGAATAAAAGATAGTGCAGCCCCTCACCTTCTATTCAGTGCTGAATGTGAACTAGCTGAAATATACAGTGGTACAAATGTTTCTAAGGCCCTTATTTGTGACAATTTAAACACCAGAATCCGTTATTGTCAATAACTGCCATCTAGTTGACTTCAAGTTATGATAACCCCATGACTGAGAAACTTTATCAACAATTCTGCTCATGTCTTGCAGACTCAGGGCTGTGGCTTCTCTTATTGAATTAATCTATCTGGAATGAGACCATCTTCTTTTCCCATTAACTTGTATTTTAACCAGCATTTTGTCTTTTCGTGTGAGTCAWATTTTTCATGACATGTAGTGACATAATAAAAAAAGACTAGACTCCATGGGRTGTGGTTAAAAAACCAAACACATTTCMGTCACATGACATATTGGCCTTAGTTCTTCCCATGTAGGATCATAACTAGGACCATGTCATCATGGGAAAAAGAAWATCTTGTGTGGTTTGTTGTAGGTTTTTCGAGCTATATGGCCATGTTTTAGAAGCATTTTCTCCTGACGTTTCACATGCAGGTGAAATGTCAGGAGAGAATGCTTCTAGAACATGGRCATATAGCCTGAAAACCCTACAACAAACCACACAAGAGGTTCTGAGGATACTTGACATAGATGCAGGTGAAACGTCAGGAGAGAATGCTTCTAGAACATGGCCATATAGCCTGAAAAACCTACAACAAACCACACAAGAGGTTCTGAGGATGCTTGCCATAGATGCAGGTGAAACGTCAGGAGAGAATGCTTCTAGAAAATGGCCATATAGCCTGAAAACCCTACAACAAACCACACAAGTGGTTCTGAGGATGCTTGCCATAGATGCAGGTGAAACGTCAGGAGAGAATGCTTCTAGAACATGGTCATATAGCCTGAAAACCCTACAACAAACCACACAAGAGGTTCTGAGGATGCTTGKCATAGATGCAGGTGAAACATCAGGAGAGAATGCTTCTAGAACATGGCCATATAGCCTGAAAAACCTACAACAAAACACACAAGAGGTTCTGAGGATGTTTGCCATAGATGCAGGTGAAACATCAGGAGAGAATGCTTCTAGAACATGGCCATATAGCCTGAAAGCCTTACAACAAACCACACAAGAGGTTTTGAGGATGCTTGCCATAGATGCAGGTGAAACATCAGGAGAGAATGCTTCTAGAACATGGCCATATAGCCCAAAAAACCTGCAACAATCCAGTGATTCCAGACATTAAAGCCTTCAACAATACAATATTTTTGTGCTTCTAGCTAAGCAGTCAAGATTTAGAACAGGCTCAAATCAAAATGGTAGGCATCGGCCTTTCGTAATCATACTATTTGCAGTTGAACTGGACCAGTCCCTTAGCTCAATTAAAGGCACTTAGCTTGTAGGAGCAGTTATCAGATGCAGCTTACACATTTGCACTGTATGGTGCACTGATAACATTGTTTTTCTCCCAGGAACTATTTTTCATCAATTTGGATTTGAATTGAAGCCTGAATCAATTGCAACTGATAAAAAAAGATTATGAAGGAAATCTGAAGGCTAATTGCCAGGATCTCAAGGATTGTTAAGCATACTTGGAGGCTCCTTGGAAACCTTCAGAAACTGCTGGAAAGAAAAGACTGCCACATCTTTATGTCCAATTTAATAGGGCCTACTAGGGTTTTTGTTAAAGTTGCTTTCTGGGCAGAGATTGCCATCTCTGGTCCAGAGAGGCTGATTTTAACATGCATCATATCTTGAACTCTGAATGTTGGCAATACAGTGTTCCCTCACTACTTTGTGGTTCACTTACCGCGGACTCGCTGTTCCACGTATATACAGTATATACAGTATATTTATTTATTTATTTATTTCGCGCATTTCTACCCCGCCCTTCTCAACCCCCGAGGGGGGATTCAGGGCAGCTTACAAAAGGCACAATTCAATGCCAACAACAACAATAAATCAAAACATGTATCAAAAGCAATTATAAAACAACTAAAACAATCAAATTATATATCACAATCAATAAAACCAATCTAATGTTCAACGTTCACCAGCTCAGAATCCATAAATTCATTCCACATTGTCAAATCCTATCAATTCTAGTCGTCATTGTCCTTTGTCTATCTGCCAGATTACCCAAAGGCCTGGTCCCATATCCATGTTTTTAGTTTCCTTCTGAAAGAGAGGAGGGATGTCGATGACCTAATTTCCCCGGGAAGTGAATTCCACAGGCGAGGGGCCACCACCGAGAAGGCCCTGCTCCTCGTCCCCACCAATCTCACTTGCGATAGAGGTGGGGACGAGAGCAGGGCCTCCCCAGAGGATCTTAAACTCCGAGGCAGGACATAGAAGGAGATGCGTTTGGACACGTACACTGGGCCGGAGCCGTATAGGGTTTTGTAGGTCAAAACCAGCACTTTGAATTGGATCGGCAGCCAGTGGAGCTGACATAACAGAGGGGTGGTATGTTCTCTGTATGACACTCCGGTGAGTAATCTGGCCGCCGCCCACTGAACTAATTGAAGTTTCCGAACAGTCTTCAAAGGCAACCCCACGTAGAGTGCGTTGCAGTAATCTATTCGGGATGTAACAAGAGCGTGGACCACTGTGGCCAGATCTGACTTCCCAAGGTACGGGCGCAACTGGCGCACAAGTTTTAACTGTGCAAAAGCTCTCCCGGCCACCGCTGAGACCTGGGGTTCCATGCTCAGCGATGAGTCCAGGATCACTCCCAAGCTGCGAACCTGCGTCTTTAGGTATATATATATATATATAGAGAGAGAGAGAGAGCTAGGAACACTATACGCCCCCATAGTGACCAATAGGAGGGAGGTAAACAGGATGAGGAGGCAGCTCTTCCTCCCCCCTCACCCTGTTTACCTCCCTCTTCCTCCTCGTGGTCGCCACTGGGGCCTCTTGCCCCTGCTTGGGCCCCGCGACACCTCCATCAAGAGGCGGCAAGAGGCCCAATGAGGAGGAGGAAGTTGAAGGTAAAGAGGGTGAGGAGGGAAGGGGAGGGGGCATCCATATTTCATGGTTTTTCACTTATTGCGGGTGGTCCTGGAACGTAACCCCACAATAAGTGAGGGAACACTGTATTGGCTTACAGGCAGGCAGTATTTTAACTCTCCTTCTGTTTTGCATGAAAAGAAACAGGTGGTCGGTTACTTGTTTGTTTGTTTGTGATATCACCTCAGCCTGGCATGTAATATAAAATAGTAAACATGTTTAAACAGAGTGAAATCATACTATATAAAAACAAGACAGTTAAAATCAGGCAAAACAGTTTTAATCAACAGGTTATCATTTTGTGCATCCCTGTGTGCAACCAAGGCAAAGAGGAACAAATAACTGTGCCAAAACCTCTACTGTTGTTGTTCACAGTGGGGAAGAACGTCTTAGACTTCTTTGCCTCTGTCTTGGAATAAATTGCAGAGGTACAGATAGGTAAGGATACTTTTGTAAGGCCTCCAATACACAGGAAGGGGGAGGCAGATAAAGTTTGAAAGATAGTTATAAAGACCAAACCAACATCGTTGTCTCTCAGTAGAGAAAATCTGTCAGATTTTATGGACACATTAGCATGTTGGCATTTTGCACACGGAGAGGTATTTACAGCTAGCATTTAAATGAAAATGTAAACAGCATTTGCCTTTATGTGATATTTGTACAGTGATTACAGCTGGAAATACCAAAGTTAGACTTAGAAGAATCAATGCTCCAGAATTCTAACACATTGCTTAATCATTTATTTTCTGCATTAGTTTTCGGTCACCACTTATAGTATCTGACTATCATAAGAATTACTAAATCCAGAATATCTGTATAGGACTGGTTCAAGGATCATTTGGGGATACCAAAAATGCATGTGTTTTTTTTTTAAAAAAAGGCATAGGGCAGCAAGACAACAACAGCAAGTCCCGGCTGCTAGGTATGCCTCATTCTTTGGCCTCCCCTGTCCCCTGTCACTTCTGCTTTCTAACTCTACGCTTCTATGATTCTGTGATTCTACCTTCAAGGCACAAGGTAGAAGAAATTGGCTATTGGCCTTCCCAGAAGTTGCAGGAAACCAAACAGTGGGGTGCACCTGACAGCCAAGGTTTGCCCTATGCGATTTTTGATAGGGACTTACAAGCCTCACTCATATTTGTGAAGCTTAATGCAGAGAGATTGTGACTGCACGGCAAGGCTTATAAGACCCTATTAAAAATAGTGTAGGGTGACAACAAGTTCCACTAGTTGCTCTCTTCCACCTTATGAAGGATATGTCCTTTAATTTGCTTTGCATCGTATTGCTATTGTCAGTTGTTGTTGTGTTGAGGCCTTGGCCTTTGTAAGCCGCATCGAGTCCTCCGGGAGATGCTAGCGGGGTACAAATAAAGTTTATTAATAATAATAATAATAATAATAATAATAATAATAATAATAAATCTTCAAGTGGGTGGCTGGCATACTCCCCACTACAGATTCAAATATACAGTATTATGTACATTTGATTCCATGTGGGTCATGGAATCAAATGTACATAATAATCTCTCTCTTCTTCTTCTTTCAAGAAGAAGAGAGATTAAGGAGGAGATAAAAGAGCCCATTTGCATATCCAGATTACTGAAAACTAATACAGAAAATAAATGATTGAGCAATGTGTTAGAAGAATCAATGTTTATTGTTTATTATTTATTTCGGGCATTTGCATCCCATCCTATCTCGACCTCCGCAGAGGGACTCAAGTCAGCTAACAAAACGGCACCCAAAAAGATAAATAGGCAATTTAAATAACAATAGAACAATAAAAAACAGTTTAAAACATTCAACAATCAACAGTTGCCGGCTTAAGTCATAGTTGTCCTAGGGGCAGTCATTCTGTTCCGTAAAAACTGTCACGCCAGCAGGTCAGCCTAATCTGCAAAGGCCTGATCCCATAGCCAGGACTTCATTTGTTTCTGAAAGGTCAGGAAAAATGAAGCAGATCTATTTTATTTTAACTCGTTATTATATGATGTTTTTAGATTGTGCTATTAGCATTGAATCCTTGCTGTAAGCCGGTCTGAGTACCTTTATGGAGGTTGAGAAGATTGGGATATATAAGTTTTAAATAAATAATAAATTTAAATAAATCTGATTTCACTTGGGAGGGCATTCCACAGTCGAGGGACCACCACAGAAAAAACCCTGTCCCTTGTCCCTACCAACCGCGATTGCGATAATGGGGGGACAACAAGCAGAGACTCCCCAGTTGATCAAAGGGCCCTAGGTGGATTCTAAGAATTCTACGTCGAACTTTGGTATTTCCAGATGTAATCACTGTACAAATATCACATTGTATTATTTTCAAGAAGAAGAGAGACTAAGAAGGAGATAAAAGAGTCCAGTTGCATATTCTCATGAGCTTCATGCTTGCCTAGTGATATATAGAGGCTTATATATCTTATAACCTAGCTCAGTGATTCTCAACCTGTGGGTCCCCAGATGTTTTGGCCTACAACTGCCAGAAATCACAGCCAGTTTACCAGCTGTTAGGATTTCTGTGAGTTGAAGGCCAAAATATCTGGCGACCCACAGATTGAGATCCTCTGACCTAATTGAATTTTCATCAGTAGAGGCCCTTTCACACATGGAGTCTCCCATCTCAGTCAGCTTTAGCAGCTGCTCAGCAATTGCTGGTGTTTTCCACCTGCCATTATATAGAACATAACACATCCTTTAATGGGAAATTACACCATTACTGGTTGATTTATTTTTGTATTGTTTACTACTATGTTGGGAGAAGGTTCTGTTTATTTTCCACATCAGGATCCAAACTTCTTTTGTCCAACCTGGGTGATGGTAGAGAGAGAAGGCAACAGTAAAAGTGATGACCATGAACCCAGACTCCTAAAAGTATGAGCCAATAAACCCACTTCTATAATAGCAGAAACAAAGAAACATTTCAATCCAACTTCTCATCCCTAGTTCACATATAGTAGAGTTCAATGTATTGTCGAAGGCTTTCACGGCCGAAATAACTGGGTTGTTGTAGGTTTTTGGGGGCTATATGGCCATGATCTAGAGGCATTCTCTCCTGACGTTTCTCCTGATGAACCAACTTGGACACAGCATTTTATTTGAGAACACAGAAATGCTGGACCACTCTCACAACCACCATGTCAGACTACACAGAGAAGCCATTGAAATACACAAGCATGTGGACAATTTCAACAGAAAGGAGGAAACCATGAAAATGAACAAAATCTGGCTATCAGTATTAAAAAACTCTAAAATTACAACAGCACAACAACAGAGAGGAAACAAACAAGGACATCTAATCACCTCTCAACAAAAGTTTGCTCTAGGCACTGTCAGGCCATTATATGCTAATTAAGGTGGTCAGTTGAAACATTCACACCTAGCTCCAGCAGACAAGAGTCCTTTGTCCCACCCTGGTCATTCCACAGATATATAAACCTTTTTCCTAGTTCCAACAGACCTCACTACCTCTGAGGATGCTTGCCATAGATGCAGCGAAACGTCAGGAGAGAATGCCTCTAGACCATGGCCATAAAGCGCGAAAAAACCTACAACAACGCTATAGTAGAGTTGTTTCAAAGGGAATTTTTCTTCTTTATCCAAGAAAACCTTCTTCATAATCCAAGAAAGATTCATTGTTCCTTTGGACTGAATGGTTATGTAAAATTCTGAACACAAACACACATACCCCAGTTGTTTGTCACTGTTACAATGTTCCCTCTTAAAATCTCCCCCTACTGCCACAGAACTCGACAGTCCTCATGATCTCATAGTGACAGCATCCACGGAGACATCCATTTCTGTGTCCTGGACGAAAGCCAAGGGCCCCATTGATCACTACCGAGTCACCTTCATCCCTGCTTCAGGAATGGCATCTGAGGTTACCGTTGCCAAGGACCAGTCTGAGTTTACATTGTCAGACTTGGAACCCGGGACTGAGTACACTATCTCTGTCATTGCTGAGAGAGGCCGCCAGCAGAGCCTTGAGGTCACAGTGGATGCCTTTACAGGTACTGCGGGTCGTCTCAGGTTATTTGAAGATCTGGTGCTACTTTCTGCTGGTTGACTAGGCCACATTAGGCGGGGCATGGGAGATATTGGATTGGGTTCTTTATTTAAAGCAGACACAAAGACATGCAAGTCCCATCTAGTTGCTCTGGCGATCAGGAAAGTGATGCTAAGCCATGATGCAAGGAAAGGCAGAGGCAGTATCATTTTCTGAATCCACTAGCATCCTGAGTGAATAGTAATTTCTGCTTTGCATGTTTGAGTTGAGGCTGAGCAAATAGTGGAGGAAAAAGCAGAGCCCATAATCTCCAAAGAAGACAGGTGGGCCTGTTAATTGACAAAAGAAAACCCAGGCAAACAGGTTTGACAAACAGGCCTCCCAAGACATATCTGCTATGCCTATAGAGTAGGTAAGTAGGACATTTGCCAGAAACCATGTGCAGAGCCAGCCCAAGTGATGCTGACTGCTTTGGCTGGAAGAGTGTCCTCATTGTAAGATCCTTGTTGTGCACTTCCACTGTAGCCCCTTCTTCCCACTTCCCCGATCCTTAAGATCTACACATACACTCTGTCTCTCTTTTGTAGGGGAGGAAATCAGTAGCAGAAAGGTGCTTACTTTCTAGAAGAGACATGGGCAATTTTTGGGGGGCAGGGGCCACAATGTGGGGTAGGGTGGGAGAAGAGCAGGGGAGGCCAAGGTCAATTGACATGGGGGGGTTGGCACGGTGGGGGAGTTGCCGTTTGGGGCAGGCTGAGAGGAGGAAGAGACAGGCTGCTACCGAGAGCTCTCTAGAAAGCTCTCGGAAGCCACACGTCTTTGCCTCAGTCCTCCTGTCAGCCTGGGGCCATGGCGAGCTGCCATGTTCGTATGCTGAGAGGAGGATGAGGCAGACCAGGTTAGGAGGGAAGAGCCCAAATGGCCATGTTCGGTCCACAGACCTGGATTTGCCCAAGCTTGTTCTAGAAAGTTAGTTATTGGAAGTGATTACTTATTGGCTAGGGCAGGCTGGGCTGGGAGGGAGAAGAGCAGGGGAGGTCGAGGTCAGTTGACATGGGAAGGGTGGTTGGCACGGGGGGGGGGGCAGTTGCCATGAAGGGGGTGTTTGGGTCAGGCTGAGAGGAGGAAGACACAGGCTGCTACTGAGAGCTCTCTAGAAAGCTCTCGGAAATCACGTGTCTCTGCCTCAGTCCTCCTGTCAGCCTGGGGACATGGTGAGCTGCCATGTTCATATGCTGAGAGGAGGGGTGAAACAGACGAGGTTGGGAGGGAAGAGCCCAAATGGTCGTGTTCGGCCCACAGACCTGGATTTGCCCATGCTTGTTCTAGAAAGTTAGTTATTGGAAGTGATTAATTATTGGCAAATGCATTCAAAGCTAATTTCCTCTTTCTTTCCCCTTTGCTAACAAGAAACAGATGGGTTAGATAACTTCCTGACTGCTCCTTTTGCAAATGCTTAAGTGTGCACTACTCACTTGACCTCCATGGCTGGGAAAGGCCTGGCCTACCTTGTTTAGGCTTGCAGCTTTCTTTCTGCATTCTTATTTTCAGGGTTCCGACCCATCACACAGCTTCACTTTTCTCATGTGACTTCCTCCAGTGTGAACATCACTTGGAGTGATCCCTCCCCTCCAGCAGATAAGCTCATACTGAACTACAGCCCCAGAGACAAAGAGGAAACCAAGCAAGTGATGCTGGATCCGACCAAGAGACATGCTTCCTTGACTGGTCTGCAGCCCTCCACAGAGTACATGGTCTCCTTGGTGGCTGTACATGGCCCCGTCAGCTCTGAGCCCATTATTGGCTCCATTGTAACAGGTAAGAGGAAAAGGGCTCTCTCTCATACCATGGTAGTTTGCTGCATATTTTTATGTTTTATTGACCTTGTTACGATTGTATATTTATGCGATTGTTTTTAATTCCTTTCAATGTCCAAAGCAGAAATCGTCTGTGGTCATCAGACTCTGCCCAGAGATGATAAATCGTATTGATGGGATGCATACATATTTTTGTATCACATACAAAAACAGCACTTCAGAATCCATAGTATTTCAAAATACATGATTAGAATTCTGCCTGCAAATAATCAGTTTCTGTGATGCTTTGCAGACGGATTCTGATGAAATACAGATGGGATGGGGCAAACATCATGTGATGGGACCCATTCGAAATCAGTCTCAGAAATTGAGTATTTCCTAATGTGATAAGGTCCTAAGTCTGAGGTGTCAGTTTCAGCTGCTGCCCATTCAATCGATTTCTGTTCCTGAGCTCAATATTTAGGAGGCAGTGCCAGAGGATAGACTTGAGCAGATTCTAGAAGTAGCACTTTTGTTATGCAGGGATGAAATATACCCTGAATGAAAGATGAACTACAAGTAACTTTTCAAAGTTCTGATCCAGGTATATAATAATAATAATAATAATAATAATAATAATAATAATAATAATAATAACAACAACAACCTTATTTATTTATTTATACCCCGCTGCCATCTCCTGGAGGACTCGGTGCAGCTTACAAGAGGCCAAGCCCAAATACATCAAAACAACACAGCAATACAAACAATAAATAAACTCATAAACAAAGCAATAAACAATAACAGTAACACCACGACGCATTAAAAACCCGTGGCAGGGCCAAATGTAAAAGTTAAAATTTTAAAATACTGGGCATGACAAGGTGACATATAACTGGGATAGGTATTTGGAGAGAAATGGAGCGAGCAGACAATCCTAGATCATTAGTAAAGTGCTATTAGGGACATGTTGCTTAGGGTTCCTTATTCCTTATTCTGGGAAGGCACACTGGAACAACCACGTTTTCAGGCTCCTCTTAAAGACTGCCAGAGTTGGGGCATGTCTAATGTCCTTGGGGAGCGAGTTCCAGAGTCGAGGGGCCACCACCGAGAAGGCCCTATCCCTCGTTCCCACCAATCGCGCTTGCGATGGAGGTGGGATCGTGAGCAGGGCCTCTCCAGATGAACGAAGAGATCGTGTGGGTTCGTACACAGAGATGCAGTCACGCAGGTAGGCGGGTCCCAAACCATTTAGGGCATATCAGCAGGCATATTGACATATCAAGCAAGATCCTACTACCTGGTGAGATTGGGCAAGCCCCCAATCTAGCAGCCTTTAAAAAAAAAAGACCTAAAGACTTGGCTTTTCTAACGTGCCTTTGGAGAGTAACCATATATTCTATTTTTGTTGTTCCACCTACACTGTTTCTCCCCATATTGCACTTTCCCTCACCCTATTGAAAGTTTAACTCCGCTATTCAGTCCCCTACGAGCTCCTTCCCTACAAATTGCAGTTTTCATTACTATCTCATCCAGAGTTTTATCATTTTATGTCATACATTTGGCCCGCCCACTGTGTTTGATTTTCTATTATGTTATTTTGAATTATTTATTTTATTTTATTGGTTTATTTTTTATTGTGATGTTACTTTGTTGTTTATATTTTATGTTGCTGTACTATATTGCTGGGCCTGGCCTCATGTAAGCCGCTCCGAGTCCCATTTGGGGAGATGGTGGCGGGGTATAAAGTTGTTGTTGTTGTTGTTGTTGTTGTTGTTATATTGACATATCAAGCAAGACAAAAGTAGGTGGGAATCTATGTCTGTGTGTGATCAGACAACCCATTTTCTAGCCAGGCATCTTGCAAACTCCAATGGCTTGTCCTTCTTTAGTCTGGGTATTGACTGGATTAAGGGGATTGTTAGTTTCATGTCTCACCAGGCTATAAATAATGTGCTGCACCTCACTACCACCAGCAAACAGACAAATTCTACAATCGCACAACAGGTTCCAAAGTTCCTTTTTTTCCTAGCCAGCTCATTTGTCCTGGCCTGCTGCTACAGTAATCTTCCCGTACTTCCTTCTATTGTCTCAGTGCAGTGTTTTGCTTTTAGACCATAACTAATTCCAACTGCTGTACCAGGCAATTATATACATATGCACACTGTGAGCCTGAAAATCTACAAAATAGCCAAAAAGATGGATTTGTACAGTGCACATTCATTCTGAAATCCCCCGAAATGCCAAAAACATCCTTCCAGCTGAAGTATCTGAAGCAAATAGAAGCCTATCCTCTGTAAGGTTGTATATCTGCTTCACATGGTTTAGCATACAGAAAGAAAACATGACAGAGAGAAGACTAAGCTTAAATGTTTCTCCCTGACATCCGGCTTTCTACATGCAGCTATAGGCCTATAGACATGTCTATCCGTCATCTAGGTTTCCCATCTTGTGGGGAATACTACAGAGACGTATCTTGTAGTAATGCCACACCAGTGAGCCAGATCAGCTTATTCAGGATCCTCCAAACCCTCCAAAATCACTCAGGATCCTATGGATTCTGTCTAGAACATAAATAGAAGGTAGGGAGTATTTTACACTATTGAAGAATAACTCAACACCAACTACAACCAAGATCTAGAGCAGAGGTGGGCAAAGTGTGTCCTCTAGAACATGGCCCTATAGCCCGAAAAAACCTACAAGAACCTTGTGTCCTGGATGCTATTTTGGTCAAAAATGAAAAAAATCAATTCCAAATTGCTTCATAATAACCTTTGTGCTGACACGCACTGGGCCTATAGCAATTGTATTTTAAAACAGGACGTGCTCTTTGTGCCCAGCGGGACACCGGGGTGCCTCGGCTGAGAGGCCCTATGGATTTTCCTAAACAAAGTCTTTCGAAACTTGGAAATTTTAACAAAGTTCTTTATTATTGCTTAGATCTTCAACAAAACACACTAATTCTTCTTAACTTGCCCACAAAGCACAGGGAGCTTGTTTCGTGAACTATTTCTTTCTTTTACAAGGAAAACCCTCCGACCCCTCCCTGGGCAATCTGTCTTTAGGCTGGCTGGCGTGGGGCCTTACTCCCGGTTCCAATTTGCTTTTTGGGTACCCGAGTAAACCTTACCGGCCAAAACTTTAGAGATTTTCCAGCTGGAGACCTTTGGATCTGTAAAACTGTTTTCTTCAGAGGCTTTAGGACTGTCTTCCTCAGAACCCTGGGGAAAGGGACGGAATTAAAGAACTTAACGATGATAGGCAGGTGGCTGGCCCTATGGCTGCAGCCTGGAAGGAACCACCCAACTGCAAAATGCACGGCCAAAACAAACACATGCATAGAAAGAAAATTTAGGCTTCTGGTACAGCTGTACCAGCATAACCTTTGTTGTTGTTCATTTGTTCAGTCGTTTCCGACTCTTCATGACCTCATGGACCAGCCCATGATAGAGCTCCCTGTTGGCCGTCACCACCCCCAGCTCCTTCAAGGTCAATCCAGTCACTTCAAGGATGCCATCCATCCATCTTGCCCTTGGTCGGCCCCTCTTCCTTTTTCCTTCCATTTTCCCCAGCATCATTGTCTTCTCTAAGCTTTCCTGTCTTCTCATGATGTGGCCAAAGTACTTCATCTTTGCCTCTCCCTCCAGTGAGCAGTTGGGCTTTATTTCCTGAAGTATGGACTTAATAACCTTGGGTTCAGGATAAAATTTTGCTTTTTTCCACCATCAAAATATTCCAAAATGCCCTCTAAAAGCCCAGGAAGAGCTCCTCCAGAACAGTGGAGGAGTATTACAATCTCTACCGTGAGTCCCCAGTGGCACAATGGATTAAACCCTTGGACTGGCAAGACTGAAGACCAACAGATCAAAGGTTCAAATCCGGAGAGAGCGCAGATGAGCTCTCTCTGTCAGCTCCAGCTCCACATGCGGGGACATGAGAGAAGCCTACCACAAGGATGGTAAAACATCAAAACATCCGGGCATCCCAGGGCAACATCCTTGCAGACAGCCAATTATCTCACACCAGAAGTGACTTGCACTTTGTCAAGTTGCTCCTGGCATTAAAAAAAGGATCTCTAGCACTGAAAAAGAGTGAAGGCAGAAGTTCATATCTTTGTGGCTCTAACTCCAAGGTTTGTTTGTTTATTACTGTCTGATAACTACAGTACTGAGTGATGAGTTACTCAAGAAGCTTTCTTGAACATATTGTAGATTCTGTATTTTTCCTTCCCTCTGGTCCCAATGGAAGAGGCATCTCAGGTGCACATGCAGATGCTGTGGGGAAAGATTGCCCCTTCTGCTCTTAGAACCGCTGCTGGAATGTTTCTTCTAATCACAGTCCCTTTGTGGTGTCAAAACCAGCTCCTTAAATGAGGAATGAAATGTATAATCATGTTAACTGCCTTGCCAATTACTATGATAAATGAAGCAAAGCCATTGATATAAGACCTATACAGATGCACACACAATTATGTTTTGGAGCCCATTTTAAGGTCTTCTTATCAATAGTGACAGCTAGCAGATTACTTTTGTAAAAAATGGCAAAATTCTAGAGAGTAAGCTATCACCATGGCTGAAAAGTGACACTGTGCAGAACTGCTGTGTCTGCCATTTTGGCCTTAGAATTTAATGTGCCTGTCAGTCATCTCTCAAAGTGATTATTTAAGTAGATTTATTTATATCAAGCTCTTCAAAAGATGCATCTGCTACCACCATTGCCTTTTCTTGGTTGTGTGATAGTGTCTTGAATAAAACATAACCATATATTTGCATGCCCCCCGCCCCCAAACTCAAGGCCGGTTGACACTAGAAGAAGCATGGGGCAACCAGCATCAATCTGCCAGTCTCCTTCTATACCACAAAGTTCACTTGAACCTCCTCTCTTAATAGAAACTGGAAAGCTTTGTATCCACATTCCGTAAAAGTCCTTTTCCAAATGTCTGAGCAGAAACGCCATTGCAAGATTAATGAATACATGCCTATCCCAAAAACAATGAGAATGAGGGTCTTTTGCACAGTCCAGAAGGACCAGGAAAGGAAAGTGGGGGTTGAGGCAGGTGGTGGAGGAACCTAGGCACAGTTTGACCTTCCTCAGTTGAGTCTGTGCCTTTGTAGCAGCGAGTACATTAGTAAAGTGCATAGTTTTTGTTGTGTCTTATTAATGGATGAAAATGCAGAAAAGTCTGGAGCAGCATTCTTCAGCTACACAAACTGAGAACAGCATGGCTGTTTGTGTGAAGGCTCATCTGAAAGCTTCTCCACCCACCATATGGTCCTGATTTGGCTCTGTGCAATATCTTTCCCCAAGCCCAAAATTCACTGGTATGGGTAAAAGATTGGTCAAACCTTATAAAAATTAAAACATTAGCTTTATAAGGTTTCAATTTACGAAAAGGATGGCACTCTTATTTGTGGTACGGGAGGAGAAAAATAGAGAAAAAATTTGGGAATCATTTTATTCAATCCTCATTGATAAAGATTTGGGAAAAATATAAGAGAATTTTTTATACTTAAACTCCTTTGTGGATATTCCCATTGGAAGCAAATCAGAGAAGATTATTAGGTTGGATAGAGTGGCCAACATATAAGGACATACTAACTAAATGTTGAGACAACAGACACCTTAAAGAGCCACACACTGTATTGAGTCCAACAAAAAGTTTATTGTAGCAAACAAAACAATAGCTCAGAGACACTTAAACTTCAGTGTCTCTCACCCAAACTCAAAAACTAACCAAACTTGGTTCAAAAAGACAAATGGAAAATAATCCGGATATAACAGGAAAAAGAACCGGATTAAAACGCAGCATTCAGTAGCAAACAAACAGCGCTGCACTCAAACAGTTAACAGCAAGGAGGAATGACCCAACGAGTAAACAAAGCCAACTGAAGTCCAGAAGTCATCTTAGGAGGAGTCCAAAGAAACGTCGTTTCCAAGTCCGTCAAACAGCGGCGGCGTCAAACCAGTCCGAGATCCAGGAAAGGAGAAAGCCACACTCACAAGAAGTCAGTCCAAGTCGAAGACAAACAGGAACAGGAACTCCAGCCTGCAGAATCCCGGACCCAAAGCCCAACACGAAAACAGGCAGAGACAAATCCACACGATACAGGAATGTAACTGACACTTTGCCTTCTGCAAAGATCTCCCATTTCAAAGCCTACTTTTATTTTACAGATCATCATCCGAAGATAAGCTGGCCTCTGCCCCGTCATTAACTTTTACAGCTGTCCTTGTCTCAACACGTGAACTCCTCTTACCATCTCTCCAGTTTCTCCATTTTCTGTCAAGACTTAGATCCCCCCCAAGACTCAGATGTGTTACCTGTTTGCCAATCCTCATTACCAGAGAAACCCATGAACATGTCACTAGATGTTGGCTCTGCACATACATCTTGTACCTCTTTAACCTTAGTCCAGTCCAATGTGTCCTCCCCATCCTGATCACTCCCAGACCCATCACTTCCAGAGAAACCCATAAATGGTTCATCCTCTGCGGGAGCAGTAAGTATATCCCGGATCCTCTTCCTCTCACTCTCTTCATCTGATTCCTGCTCCCAAGTAACCCTCTTTGTACCTCTATTCCAGTCAGTTTACCAGCTGTTATATACATATCAAAACACTCTTTCATACCAGTGTTTAGTCAAATATTAATAAAGCATAATTTTCCAGTTTGCAGCCACAATCAAGAAAAGACAGAACTATGTGGAGAAATCCCTTATTCTAACCATTAGAAATGTTTAACAGTATCAACAAAGGATCAGAACCATTTGCTTTTTCATGAGAACATTATATTTATGTACCATTTCTCAAAACCAAATCACTATCTTATATTCCCACAATTTTCAGATTTTTGACAAATTCTTTCTTTTGTGCATTGTCCCATACAGGGATTGATCCACCTAGGAACCTGACTATTGAGAATGTGACTACAGATTCCGTGACTTTCCACTGGGCCCCTCCCATTGCATCCTTTGACCACTATAGGATAGCCTGTAAATCTGCTCAAGGTAAGTGCTCCACAACACAAAGGTTTATGCGGAAATGCTGAGCTTCATCAGTCAATACTAAAAGTTATTTAAACTGGGAAAAGGGAAGTTTTGGTTAAAAACAACTAAGAGTTTTGTCACTAGAGGGGCTGGCTGTTCATTGGCAAGGCAGCATGACTTGACCTAATGATTTTGAAAAGGGCTACTCCACACTGGCTAAATGCTTTGAGATGAGGCAGGAACTGTAATTAATGGGGGTGTTTTGATAACGATATAATATTCTTGAAACAGTATTTTTCTTGTTAAGTTTAAAAATAATATGTAGGAATTGTGGATATGCATGCAAAGGCAGATGCTGAGTACATGGAGGGGGTGGCAGGGTGGTGGGAGAGGGAAACCAGATATACACTAGCACTTAAACATATATCAAGTGGGAGAAAAGAGTAGATGAAAAGAAACATGCAAACTGGGGCACTGCTAAACTCTGCTGCAACACCCAATACATTTAGGGTACAACTAGATGCAAGAGCAAAAATAAACTCTTACAGGCTGTGAAATCTTGAGCTTTCCTGGAATTGTTGGTCAGGTTGGAGCAACCCAACTTGTCACTCAACTTGGGAATAATGGAGCAGGTGGTGCAGTAGGGGAAATGCAGTACAGAATAGGTAAAGGGGCAATACAAGAATATCTGTCTAATCTAAGTGAATTCAAATCTCCAGGGCCAGATGAAATATTAAATGGTATTAATAAAGAGCCCTGGTGGCGCAATGGGTTAAAGCACTGAGCTGCTAAACTTGTTGGCTGAAATGTCGCATGTTCGAATCTGGGGAGTGGCATGAGCTCCTGCTGTCAGCCCCAGCTTCTGCCAACCTAGCAGTTCAAAAACATGCAAATGTGAGTGTGCTGTCGCACGCTGGGCCTGTAATGATGTCTGTTTGCAAGACGTGCCTTCTGTATGCCCAACGGGACACCGGGGTGCCTCAGCTGAAGGGTCCCTTAGATTTCCCAACACAAAGTTCTATTGAGGCTCAAAATAAGTTCAACAAAGTTCTTTATTTGGGCTTAAATCTTCAAACAAATGAGTTAAATGCTTTATAACCTTGGAAAACTGGTAGCTTCCTCAATCTGCTATCAAGGGCAGGCAACTGGTGGTAAACTATTCCTTTTTTTCCTTAGGGAAATCTTCTGACCCCTTCCTGGGCAATCTTTCTTTACCTTGCTGGTGTGAGGCCCCTACTCCTGGCTCCAAGCTACTTTATGGATAGCCCCCGTGGCCCTTACCAGACAATGGTTGCTGTAGATCTGCCAAGCTGAAAGGTGTCCTTTAGTTTACTCCACAAAGGCTGTAGGAACTGTCCTGTTGCCCCAGCAAAAGCTGGCTGTATTCCCCCAGTAAAAGCTGTGGAACTATCCTTTTACTCCCCCAGCAGAGCTGTTAAAAGTGAAGCTTTTGTGCAGGTGGGAAAGGGAATCCCACACGTCCTGCTGTTAGGTTTCAAACAGTGAGACTGAACAAAGGCCCTCCTTTGCCTCCAAAACCCTGGGTAAAGGGGTGGGTCTAAAGATTCTAACGATGATAGACCGGTTGCTGGCCCTATGTCTGCAACCTGGGGAAGCTACCTGATTGCAAAAAGCATGGCTTAAATAAATTCACACAAACTAGCAGTGCAAGAAAAAGAAATTCAAATCTCCTGGCACTGCTGTGCCAGCACAGTGAGTAGATTAATAGGAAGGTAACAACACTCCATGCAGTCATGCCAGCCACATGACCTTGGAGGCGTCTACGGACAACGCCGGCTCTTTGGCTTAGAAATGGAGATGAGCACCAACCCCCAGAGTCAGACACGACTAGACTTAATGTCAGGGGAAAACCTTTACCTTTTACTAAAAGGGCTAGTTGAAGCATTTGCAGGACCACCCGATAATCATCTTTGAAAATTCCTGGAGAACAGCATGTCAGAATTTGGCTAATATGACCGTTTTGTCCCAAAAAATAAAGGCCTACTGCATTACAGATTGTACTTTAACAGTACTTTGTTTAACTAACAACAGGAACAGCCTGCATAGACATCAGTGCCAGAACTAAGCATCTGACAACAGATTTATAAAAGTTCCTGTGTGTAAAAATTGATTCAGGAAAAACACTCAAAATGTATATTTGTTCTTGGATCATGAATCCCAGCTTTTTTTTTTATTCCTACCTATTGTAAAATATTCAGCTCCTTTAATCTCATCCAACTTAGTATAAACAAGTCATCTGTGACTTTCTCCATCCCTTTATTATTCTAGCAATATGTTTGGGCAAGTGATACATCTCTAACACACACACACACACACACCGTATTTTGAAGATGGGTTCTCTGCTCCGTGCTCCCAATAAATGTCAACATGAGGCATACCAATGTTGGAGTGTAAGAGTCATAGCACAGGAGAAGTTCCAGCAAACTGTACTTGAAGGCAAATGTCCCTATTTTCAAGGAGGAAAAAAGGGAGGACCCAAACAATTACCATCTAGTCAGCCTGATATCAATACCAGGAAAGATTCTGGAGCAGACCATTAAAGAAAAAAAAACTGTAATCACTTAGAAAGATTTACCATACTCACAAAAAGCCAGCACAAGTTTGTCATGCCAGATTAATTTATCTCTTTTTTGAAAGAGTTACAAGCTTGATAGATGACGGGAATGGTGTAGATAGATCATATCCTGATTTCAGTAAAGCCTTTGACATAGTCCTCTATGACATTCTACCAAAAAAGCTAATCAAAAGTGGGCTAAATGGGGGTTTCTTAAACTTTTCACCAAATTGAGAGGAAAAGTTAATACCCCCCCCCCCCAGAGGACAGCATCAGAATCCAAAATGACCTTAACACATCAGAGCTGGGCCAAAACTAACAAAATGAAATCAGCAGGAAGAAATGCAATGTACTATGCTTAGAAAATAAAATGAAATGCATATAGGATGGGTGACACCTGGCTTGAAAGAGATCTTGGAATCATAGCAGAACATGAGTCAACAGTGTGATGTGACACAAGTAAAAAAGCCAATGCAATTCCAGGCATCTGTAGAAGCATAGTGACTAGGTCGAGAGAAGGTGTTCTGGAACGGCTGTTCCAGGGGCTCCAATTTTGTGTTTTGCACTGAGTGTTTGTTCATAGTCCTAAGTTGCAGGGACTTTGCAGATAGGTGGCTTCCTTTGGCTGCATTCATAGGGCAAGCTACCTGTCAATAATAGTTAGGATCCCTGGTCCCGCCCCTCTCTGGTTTTTTGGAGGGAAGGGGCCATTTTTCAGTTAGTCTCAGCAAAGGAAGTCTATGCAGAAGATGTATACAGATGTCCTCCTGTACAAAGGCTTCGTCCCTTAAGACTTCCCAGGGGAGAACAGTCTTAAGAGCCTCTAAAGATTCCCAAAGGTTCCGGGGAAACAGCCTTACAGCCCTGAGGAATTCCGGAGGGAATAACAACTCTAATCGTCAAGATCTCCAGCTAAGTGACTACAGGCCTGCTGGTACGTCTGCTCGGTTTTGAGATGCAGTTCAGCCGGTAGTGGATTCAAATGAGTCAGGTTTAGGTTCACAGTAGCCTGGGAGGAACTAGAAAGGGGAATTTTCTTTTGAACAAAGTTATTGAAGATAATGCCTGTTCCCTGTGGACAAGTCTGAGAGAACTGGTTTCTTTACGAAGAAAGCTTTACTATTCCTGTTTGTTCATCAATAAAAGACTGTTATATTTAAGCTCAAGCCTCCTAAAGACTGTTCAATGAGGGAAATTTCTCTAAAGGCTCCTTTTCGGGGGCCCTGGCTTCCCGCTGGATTCAAGCCATACATCCTCTTTTAAAGGCACTTCATTTTAGGTCCAGCAGCGACAGAACAGAAGTCATAGTCCCACTCTATTCTACTTTGGTCAGACCTCATGTGAAATATTGTGTCCAATTCTGGGCTTTACAATTCAAGAAGGATTTTGACAAGCTGCAAAGTGTCAAAAGAAGGGCAACCAAAATGATCAAAGATCTGGAAGCCAAGCCCTATAAGGAGTGGCTTACAGAGCTGGGTATGTTTAGCCTGCAGAAGAAGATTGAGAGGAGACACAATCACTGTGTTTAAATATTTGAAAGGATATCACAATGAGGAAGGGGAAGCTGGTTTTCTGCTGCTGTAAAGACTAGGACACAAACCAATGGGTTCAAATGACAGGAAAAGAGAATCCACCTAAACATTAGGAAGAACTTCCTGATGGTAAGAGCTGTCTGACAGTGGAATATACCACCTCAGAGTTTAGTGGAGCTCCTTCTCTGAAAATTTTAAAGGAGAGGCTGATGACCATCTGTCAGGAGAGCTTTATCTGTATTTTCCTGCATGGCAAAGGGTTGGACTGGATGGCCCTTATGGTCTCTTCCAAGTCTATGTTTCTATATTTCTAATTTTCAGTTAACTATACATTGATGGCATTATGTTCATCTGGTCCTAAGATGGTTGGGAGGATATCTTCAGTTACCCTCAGAAAAGATAATTCTGAAATTTTTGTGAAATATAATCTAGAAACTTCCCAAGAATGTGTTGAAATTTCCCCTGCTCTCCTTTCAAGGAGAAGGGACAAGTTCTGCTGGATAAATAATCTCCAAGGTATATTCATAGTGCTTTCTTTGAAGGTAGGTGAAGAGCAGGAGTCTGCATGTTTACTCAGAAGTAAGACCCAGTAGGTTTAATTTGGCTTATCCCCTAGAAATATGCATAAAATTGCAGGCTTAATGTACTAAAAATATTTTTCGTCTGTTGCTACACGAGATTAAAGAGTCCAGATTTTTAGAGTTTGTCACTTCAAAAGGACAGATGGGACATTAAAATAAAGGAAGGGTAAATATTTTTGCAAGAGAGCTTCATTTGCATTTCACAAGCACCTCAAACAAGTGACTTCTGTACCAGATGATATTTTTAATTACTTTGAAATACACATTTCCCAAAACTTATCCATGATGTATGTGGTTCTGTCATCTCACCTTTATGGAGACAGGTTTATAGATATCCGATTGTACCAAAAATGTGTCAAAACATGCTTTTTAATTGCATGTGAACAGATTATGAATATCTGGATATATGCAGATGCTAATTCTTTATTTTATACATTTACCTAGGGAAGTTACTGGCATGACCTTCCGACAACAAGCATTGGCCTGAATCAAATTCAGTCTCAACTAGAGTAGACCCATTGTAATTGATATGAATTTAGACTACACTAAATTGTAAGAATTCGGCCTGGTGAGCTATGCTTTAGTCCGACTGTATTTATGTTAGGGACCCCAATTCAGGGGCCCCGCATTGGGTCCGGTCGCAGGAGGCAAAAAGACAAACACCCAGTCTCAGGAGAAGTACAAAAGCAAGATTTATTTTCATCATGATCATGAAGAAACAGCCAGCCATACCAAACGTGCGGGTCTTGGTACTTTCAAGAGGCTGCCGTGCCCAATGTCTCTCAGACTCACATTATATAGACAAGACTCTTTGGCACTGCAGCAAAGGTTATCCAATTACAAACTACCACCTAGGCTTAATTCCTCATTTAGCACATTGACTAACTAACTTCTCTAATTCCTTATTTGGCACATTGACTAACTGATTTCTTGTAAATCACAAGATTTCTTGACAATAGAAAGTACAAGACCCAAATAGCTCTTTCCCCCCATATGTGGCAATAAACACTTTGTCAGCTTTTTAGCCTTCTGCCTGAACTGTCTTGTGAAAGTTGTTGATTGCACATATTCTTAGGTGCTAACCACAAATGTTCCAGACAAGATGGACCCTTAGTGGAAGCTCATTTCTAAATACAGAGGGGTTACATTTTTAACTTTGCTTTCTCTAGTTTCATGATTATTGACCTATCATTTAGAGAAGCCAACTTTGCTAAGAGATAACGGGGCCATTTTCTTAATCCACACAGGACGAGTGGACAGCATAGTCGTTGCCAAAGGTGTCACTGAGTATACCCTCAGCTACTTGCAGCCGGCTACTGAGTATGAGATCTTTCTGAAGAGTGTGCGGGGCAGAGAGGAAAGTGAACCTCTTTCACACATCATGTATACAGGTATGGATTGTCTTGAAGACCAACAAACACTTCTGAGTCAGCACAGATGGCGGTTATGGTGGAGTGGTCCATGGCTAGTGGCAGAATAACTCCGAGTCCCAATTACAAGCGCACAGTACCTGCAAGATTTAGCAAGAAGTCCTTCATTTGGCTCATACCTCTGCCAAAAACATACTAGTGGGCCTTAAGGCAAACCACTGTTCTCTCTACTTCAGCCTCCCTCTGTTCTCATCACACTTGTAGTATGCAGTTCATTGGGTGTCAAAGCTGGGAAATCATGCAGAGCTAATATTTGGACTAAAAACTTAAACTTTTAATGTTTGTACAAGCTTAAATACTTGGGATTCCCATTTGAAGAGCTTTTGAAAATATGGCACTGGCAAAAAGACAGATGTTGATATGTCAGTTTGAGGATTGCACATGTTGTATTTCAGGAAAAGGTTCTGATTTTCTGGGATGATGAATAATGGATCTTTTCATAGGAACAAAGCTCTACAAACATTGCTTTGCTGAAAAGAAAGTGATAAAGCAAGCAATAGTAATAAAAAAGGTGATAGACCCAAAAGAACTCATTTCCTTTAGACGCTGAACCCAAAATCAACTCAGATGTCTTCCAGTGCCTGCGTGATTTCTACAGAAATATGGATGTAATTCCTACAGCAGTATAAAGCAAAACCAAACTCAACAAATTATAGTTATACAGCTAACAAAATATAGTGAGAAACAATTTCCCTATATGTGCAAATATCTCATGCCATTTTGGACGGACAATTTTTAGCTCATGCCATGGGCAGGCCCGTAGCCAGGATTTCGTTTCGGGGGGGGGGGCAAAAAATTTTCAGGGGGTGGTTTCGGGGGGCTCAGTTTTGGGGGGGCTGAGTCTGAGTGAAAGAGGGTCTAGCCTAGCAAACCTTTTGTATCATTACCCCAATACCCCCATGCATATGGGATATATTGAGTATGGTGATCAGATCATGATATGAATAAACATAACAGTTTAAATAATGCACCAGTAAGGCCTTTTCGCGAACCACCATGAGAATTTCGGGGGGGGCTGAAGCCCCCCGAGCCCCCCCCCCCCCCCCGGCTACATGCCTGGCCATGGGTTATGTGAAGAAGAGACATTTGAAAACACACATATACGTATCCTATGCTTCACTGTGTTCATTCTGGAAATACTCCCCAACAGAAATATTATCTTACATCCAGACTGGACTATTGCAATGCGCTCTACGTGGGGCTGCCCTTGAAGACGGCCCGGAAGTTTCAACTGGTACAACGGGCAGCAGCCAGGCTCCTTACTGGAGCAAACTATAAGGAGCATACAACACCCCTATTAAAACAGCTTCATTGGCTGTTGATAAGTTGCCGAGCCAAATTCAAGGTGCAGGTCATGACCTATAAAGCCCTAAACGGTTCAGGCCCTGTCTATCTCCGCAATCGCATCTCCTTCTATGAACCTGCGCAAACTCTAAGATCTTCCGGGATGGCCCTCCTTTCGCTCCCACCACCATCACAAGTACGGTTGGTGGGGACGAGAGAGAGGGCCTTCTAAGTGGTGGCCCCCCGCCTTTGGAACACCCTCCCCAAGGAAATTAGACAGGCCCAATTCCTCCCTTCCTTTTGTAAGAGCTTGAAGACCTTGTGGTTTCAACAAGCATTTGAGGATGACTAGTTCTAGCTCAGTCCTAGACATTGTTGAATATGGCCTTATTCTTGCTACCAATTACCCAGGTCGCTTCCTCTAATAGGCCCTGGAAATGAATAGTCATAGACCCTACTATAGCAATGCACTTAATTCCCGGGCCCCCTAGAATTTTTTGGCCCAGACTTTTAAATTGCCTTGAAAAGACACGATTACTTTTAATATATATGTGTTATGGCAACAATTTTTATGCTTATATTGTTTTGTTAATCTTATGGTTGTGTTGGTTACTTTGTATGTATTGATGCTGCTGCTTGGAAACCGCTGTGAGTCCCCTTGGGGAGATAGAGCAGTATATAAATAAAGTATTATTATTATTATTATTATTATTGTTGTTGTTGTTGTTGTTGTTATTTACTGGGTACTGAAATCATATTAAATAAACAAACTCCCTTTTGGCTCATACAAAAATAAGGGACAAGCTAGAGCAGAGAGATGGGGAAAGTCTGTTTAAGTGGACATTTGGGTGACCTTTGCTCTCTTGCCTTCCCCCTTTCCACAGCTTTCAGTATTTCCATTGCTACATGCCACCCAGCAAACAGCTAGTGTCAGAGCTGGACTGGAAGAAAAAAGAGAAGCACCTATGAATGTCTGTTGATGTTTTTTTAAAAAACTAGACACACATCCTCTCCCTGTTATGTATGTTATTGGGGGAGATACACAGATCCTAAATGTGGCTGTTCCATCAATTCTCATTTGCCTGATAGCCTTGAGATCTACAACTATAGCAATGCTTGCTTTTGTTGATACAAAACAATGGCAACGTTTATTTCCTCCTGCAGTTTGGATATTGTTGCTGAACTTAATTTAAAATACGATTTTCAGACTGTTGTATAGCATTGAACTGTTCTTTTGCTTTGATTTCTTTATCCTGATTTTGAATGATGGATAAAATGGACAAATGACAACTCCTTGCCGTGTCTTTTTGCACCTTTCCCAGCCATGGATAATCCAGAGAGTTTGACCGTCACAAACATCACCCCAACAGAAGCCCTGCTGAAGTGGGAAATACCCACAGCTGAAGTGGAGAATTATGTCATTGTGCTCACACATGACACAGGTTTGTTGGTGCCTCATTGCAACCTTAGGAGGGGTGGGCACAGAGGAGCAGCACAAAGATGTGGAAAGAAGTAGAAATACCAATTGTGGCATCACTGATAAGAAAAGAAGCAGGAATAGCGAAAGGATAACCGTGCTGGTCTGCTCTCCATTTAATGTATCCCAAAGGGTCTACTATCATTGGGCAGGTAGCATGTAGGAGCCACAGAAGAGCTCCAATTTGGCTCTTTAATGCCTCCGTCTAAGTCCTGACATTCTTCATTTTATCTGAGGGTTGTAGGAAATAGATCAGTTGCTCTCAGAGTGTTCATATTTACCTGTATAGTGTTCCCTCACTTATTGCGGGGGTTCAATTCCAGGACCCCCCGCAATAAGTGAAAATTCACAAAATAGGGAGCCATATTAATTTTAATATTTATACATTATTTTATATACTATTTTCTTACCCACACTTCCTTACCCGCCTCCCGGCCCATTCCAGGTTCTGTGGAGGCCAGGGAGGCAGGCCTTCCCTGCCGCACCTCAGACCGCCCCACTTCCGGGGTCTGTGGAGGCCAGTTAGGCAGGCCTTCCCCGCCGCACCTCAGGCCGCCCCACTTCCGTGGTCTGTGGAGGCCAGGGAGGCAGGCCTTCCCCACCGCACCTCAGGCCGCCCCACTTCCGTGGTCTGTGGAGGCCAGGGAGGCAGGCCTTCCCCGCCGCACCTCAGGCCGCCCCACTTCCGGGGTCTGTGGAGGCCAAGGAGGCAGGCCTTCCCCGCCGCACCTCAGGCCACCACACTTCCGGGGTCTGCGGAAGCCAGGGAGGCAGGCCTTCCCCGCCGCACCTCAGGCYGCCACACTTCCGTGGTCTGTGGAGGCCAGGGAGGCAGGCCTTCCCTGCTGCACCTCAGGCCGCCCCACTTCCGGGGTCTGTGGAGGCCAGGGAGGCAGGCCTTCCCTGCCGCACCTCAGGCCGCCACACTTCCGGGGTCCCTGGCCTCACCTGGACCTAAATATTTTATATTTTAATTTTTATTAATATTTTCAAAACCCGCGAAACAGCAAGTCCGCTAAAAGCGAACCGCGAAGTAGCGAGGGAACACTGTACAACCATCAGACGGTACTTTCCCCGTCATACGGCACTTGCTCTCCCCTTTCAGGACACAGCCCATTACACAACACATGTGCACTTCTGGAAGAGCTCCATCCAGAAAGAGGAGAGCAAGTGGCATATGCCACCGCCATGGTAACATGGGAGCCTTCCCATATTGCCTTATCACTAATGGGGGGAAGCTGGTCAGCAATGCTTCCCCCCATGGGATGGGGTCTCTATAAGTCACGTGATACAAGACATGGAGCAATCGATTCTCAGCGCCCCCGCTGGGAGCCCATGGATTTACCACAATGTGTGGTGAATCCATGGGTCTTTGTGAAGGTGTCCTATGCCTCCAGAACTCCAGTCAACAGTTCAAGTGGTGAGATGACTCTTTGGAAAAGATGAACAGCCATATTTATTTATTTTTATTTATTTATAGTATTTACATTCTACCCTTCTCACCCCACAGAGGACTCAGGGCAGATTACAATGCATATATACATGGCAAACATTCAGTGCCATTAGACATACAACATATATAGACAGACACAGAGGTAATTTAACATTCCTGCTTTCCGGCTTCATGAGGGTATGCTCGATTCCGGCCACAGGGAGTACTTCCGCTTCACTATCCACTTGTGACACCGAGTCCTTGATGGAGTTCTTCCTCATTCTTAGGCATGCTGCTGGAAGGTTTTATGGTGCCGTAAATTGGTTAAATTATCCTCCCCGTATAAAGCAATACCTAAATTTCCTACTTGATAGATGCAACTGTCTTTCGGGCTACATAAGTCAACAGCAAGCTAGACTATTAATGATCAGGAGCTCACTCCAACCCAGGCTGGCTTCGAACTCATGACCTCTTGGTCAGTAGTGATTTAATTCAGCTGGCTACTAGCTAACTGTGCCACAGCCCAAAGGATCTATTAAAATTATGTCATTGAGCTCACACATGAACTAAAGCCCCACATACAATGCCATATAATGCCATTTCAGAATGCAGAATAACTGCATTAAACTGAATTATATAAGCCTACACTGCCATATTATCCAGTTCAATGCAGATAATCTGCATTCTGAAACTGCATTACATGGCAATGTAGATGGGTCCTCAGAGGCTAAAATATGGAATTCAGTAATTTTTTAAAATAAACATCACTCTTTAGTGTTCAGGGCTTTCCTAATTATCTTCCGTATTGCCATCTAGTTCTGGTCATAACATGTCACTCCAGCTATATTGACAAAAAGATACAAAAATGACTATTTTGCGGGTGATTAGTAAGCAGCAAGCAATTATGAGTATTTGTAAGCAATTATCCTTTGATTTAGCACTGTTGCCTCTAAGAAATATGAATGCTTAATCAAGGCAAGGACCGGTACATCTGACACATTTTCTCCTTCTATCAGCACAACCCATTGCTCTCTGACACCAAGAACTGAATGTTTGATTTAATCCTAAAATATCTCCCAGTCTGTGGCCATCCTTACAATTGTTAATACAAAAGTTCTGTTCATGAGCAGTATTCAGCAGAGCTGATTTTTGAGAGTTGTATCTCCTAAATTTCATGATGCACACAATTTGTGTAAGACTATGATCTGCCTGAAGGCTAATAGCACTGGAATCTCCAGCAACCATCAAAACTCACTTTGATGTCTGGCAACTGCTTCTGTAATCCCACCCTCAGGTGATCCCTTTTCCCAGTGACATATCCATGGACTATCAGACAAGTCGGCCTCTTATTCCAGATGCAAACTACATTACAACATTTGCAGATGAACATATATCATAGTCACTAGGTTTGTTTGATCCAAAAAAAAATGGTTCAAAACTAATTGCAGATGTAGCTGGTGGTTCAATTCTAAAGTCAATTTCGATTTTCACAGAAAAAAATGTTCAAAACTTTTCGAAACTGCCGAGACTTCTGAATCCTTTCGTTAATGGTTTGAAAGTGTTATTTCCTGTTTCATTGGGTGGTCTTTACTTTGAAAGTAGTTGTTTTACCGGGATTGTGGTGCAGCTGGCTGAGTGTCAGCTGCATTAAGATCACTCTGACCAAAAGGTCATGAGTTCAAAGCCAGCCCAGGTTGGAGTGGGTTTCCAGCCAATTGTGTGTAGCCTGTTGTCGACCTTTGCAACCTGAATGACAGTTGCATCTATCAAGTAGGAAAATTAGGTACCACCTTAAAGTGTGGGGAGGCTAAATTAACTAAATTATGAGGCCATAAAGAAGACTCCAGCAGAGCATTCCAGCGGGGAAGCATGCGGGGAATGCGGAAGTACTTCATCAGCGTCGCATGGCGATGAAAGCGACAGCTCCCCTGGCGGCCAGAAAAAGTTAAATAGCCTCTGTCTATGTCTGAATATGTTTGTATGTCAAAAATTGGCATTGAATGTTTGCCATATATGTGTACACTGTAATCCGCCCTGAGTCCCCTGCGGGGTGAGAAGGGCGGAATATAAAACTGTAAATAAATAAAATAATAATTTACTCCAGGAGCGGGGAAAGCAAAGGGAGGAAATTCAGCCTTCCCCGGTTTAAAGCTGGCTTCTCTGGCTTGAGACAGAAGCAAGGAAAGCAAAGGGAGGAAATTCAGCTTTCCCTGGTTTAAAACTGGCTTCTCTGGCTTGAGCCGAGGCCAGCGACCAGAATAATTTCTGACTCACTTCAGCTTTGGAAGGGCAAAGGGACTTCCGGTTTCCTAAATAAGTTAAAAATCACTTCAAAAAAGTAATTTTTCTGAATTTATTCCAAATTACGAAGATTTCGACTGGACCTAACCATGCCTAATATTCACTGCAACCCATCCTCTGTATTCAGTTGCAGGAGAGACTATCTTAGTGGATGGTAGCAATCAAGAGTACCAGCTAATCAACTTGCTCCCAAGTACCAGCTATGGAGTCACCATGTATGCTACTAATGGGCCTGTCACCAGCAGAACCATCTTCACTAATTTTACCACTCGTAAGTATAGCATACCTTTCTGCTTATGAGGAAATACGTTCCTAACTATTTACAAATTGTTTCCAACGAAGGAGTGTATAGAACAGAATCAAACTCTTAGGTGCTGTGCATAACACACTGATTTGCATTTGGTATCAGATTTTCAGGGTTAATAGTAGTGCTTTATTGTGATATATTTGTTTCAGCTACACCTCCAGATCAAGAGGTCTGGCACCAAAGAGCGATGCTGCAGAGCAGAACTAGCCAACTTTGGGCCCTTCTTCTCTGGCCCAAATGTGCAAAGAACTGGAATTTAAAATTTCTGTGAATTTTAGGTCTCACAGGGGGCCAAATCCTGTCTTTTCTTACACCCATCATAGTCAAACTGGTATTGGCACAGGTGGGCATGCCCACCCTTGCCCTCCTTGGTGCCCACTTCACCATTTAAAAAACAAGGAAATCCTCTTTATCAAGGTTGGAGGCTTTTCCGTGCTCCATGGCACATCTAAATGATACAATGGAGTTCTGGAGAAGGGGAGGCAAATTCATCCTCTAGAGCAGGGGTCCTCAAACTAAGGCCCGGGGGCCGGATCCGGCCCTCCAAGGTCATTTACCCAGCCCTCGCTCAGGGTCAACCTAAATCTGAAACAACTTGAAAGCACACAACAACAACAACAACAACAACAACAATCCTACCTCAGCAGTCAAAAGTAGGCCCACACTTCTCATTGAAATATTAATAAGTTTATATTTGTTAAAATTGTTCTTCATTTTAATTATTGTATTGTTTTAAAGTGTCTTTTGCACTACAAATAAGATATGTGCAGGGTGCATAGGAATTCATACTTTTTTTTTCAAATCATAATCCGGCCCTCCAACAGTTTGAAGCACTGTGACCTGGCCCTCTGTTTAAAAAGTTTGAGGACCCCTGCTCTAGAGCTCCGTCGTCTCATTTAGACTCACCACGGAGCCAGCTAAGGACCATTTTAACGATGAAATAGGGCTTAGGAACAGGAGGATGGCACTGCCATGCCACCTTTGTGGGCTGCCTGAGCCCATGGAGACAGATGGCTATGGGGACTGCCATCTGGGATTGCACATGGATCTTTCCTGGAAGGTCCACATCTTCCCAAGTATGTTTTAACCTGGATTAAACCTGGAATTTGAGGTTTTTTCCAGGTTAATCTCATTATCTTTGGATGTCTCGGAATAATATGCCCCCTACATCACATTAAACAATAGTGTTGATGGGGCCATCCTCAGCAGCGAAATGGGATTTCTGCTGCTTGAAGCTGAAGAACCAGACTAACAATTTTTTTGTTCACAACATATCCCTCTCTATGAAATTGTGTTTGTTTTAAAAGATTATTCTTTAAACATATTATTGAAATGTGTATGCTTCTATTTTGACTCTTTTCCCAACTTTTGCAGTTTTAGATCCTCCATCAAATCTGACAGCAAGTGAAGTGACTCGGCGGAGTGCACTCCTTTCATGGCTGCCTCCCATGGCTGAGATTGAGAACTACATCATGACCTATCGGTCACCTGATGGAAGCCGTAAGGTGAGCCTATGAAGTTGGGACAGAGTCAGATGATCCCTAGCTCTGAACTTCCTCTTTCTTTGTTCATTGTTAGAGAGTAGTCATTCCAAGGATGAGTTTGTCTATTTGTTCTTACGAGGGTTGAATGAAAAGTAATGCCTCCACCTTCGTTACTTGAGTTTGGGTGGGAATATTTTAATAAATAAAACACAGAAATAATCCTTAGAATATGCTCTTTAACTACCACTATTCACTTTTCAACATAATCACCTGGCAGTTGGATACATTTCTGCCAACAATGAACAAGTTTTCTGAAGCTGTCACGAAAGAAGTCGACACTTTGTTTCCTCAACCCATTGTGCACAGATCTTCCGATAGCCAAACAAAGCAATAATGTGACCCACACGTTCTTGTGAAATGCCGATTATGCTTGAAATTTCTCTCTGAGTGATACGACAATTGTCCTGAATCAATCTGTCAACCTTTTGCTTGTGAAACTCGGTGGTTGCTGTCACAGGACGTCCAACTCTTTGTTTGTCACGCAAGTCAGATGTTCCCACCTCAACATCTTTAAACTTACTCATCCAACAATGCACAGTACTCACATCAACACAATCACCATAAACAGCTTGCATTCTCTGATGAATCTCCTTTGAGGTGACACCTTCTGCTGTCAAGAATTCAATGACTGCACATTGCTTAAGTCGCATTGACCGACCGTCTGTGCAGGGTTCCATACTTCGCACTTTAACAACACAACCGTTCAATGCTAAGGCTTCCCACCAAAATGGAACTGTAGAGGAGAGTCTACTGAACAAGCCAGTACCTGCCACATACCAGTACTGCCATCTGGAGTTACGAAGGTGGAGGCATTACTTTTCATTCAACACTCGTAGTTTCTTCTCTTCAAGTGTTGATTTGATAGGCATTCCCCTCTACCCCCCTTTGCACAACTTCTTATCATCCTAGCAATAAAGAATAATACATCCGAATGGTTTCCTGACGGCTCTTGGGGATTTTCCCGCCACCTCGGTAGGTGACCTGTCGACGCCCTGGTCGCTCTCTGGAATGGGGAGATGACCAGGGCAATTGACACGATTGCTCCGGAACGTCCCCTCTCAAGTAGCCGAGCTAAACCAGCCCCTTGGTTTACTGAGGAGCTGGCAGCTATGAAGCGAAGGAAGAGGGAACTAGAGAGCGTGTGGCGTTCGGAACCGAGCGAGTCAAACCGAGCACGGTTTGTGTCCTTTCTTAGGGCATATGCCGCGGCAATAAAGACCGCAAAGAAAACTTTCTTTGCGGCCACTATTGCATCTGCAAAGAACCGTCCGGCGGAGTTGTTTCGGATTGTCAGAGGTCTTTTAACTCCCGCCTCTGCAGGTGGGAGCCCTGACAATTCGGTCACGCGCTGTGAAGCATTTGCTCGGTTCGCAGACAAAGTCGCCTTGATCCGTTCTGGGCTGGACGCCGCATTAGATGCACACCAAAATGAAACTGTAGAGGAGAGTCTATTGAACAAGCCAGTACCTGCCACATACCAGTACTGCCATCTGGAGTTACGAAGGTGGAGGCATTACTTTTCATTCAACACTCGTAGTTTCTTCTCTTCAAGTGTTGATTTGATAGGCATTCCCCTCTACCCCCCTTTGCACAACTTCTTATCATCCTAGCAATAAAGAATAATACATTGGGCTTGATATAGGTGCAAAACTAGGCAAGAGATTAGATTTGGTTATTTGATGACATCATTAAAAGAAATGAAACCCAATTAGAGGGAGGGTAATGTTTTCTACTTTAGATCACATGGGTAAATCACAAAACAAACACTTTCACGGCCCTTTTGCATGACTCATTTGGGGCAGTTAAGATGGCATACAAAATGTTTCCTCCTCCCCTTTTGACTGAATCTTGCATAATACTGCAAGTTATGGTGAGCAGTGCATGGAACTGATAAGGGATGGAAGAACAAGAGAAAAATGAAATTTTCATTGAAACCGAAGTGTTGTCCACTTCTGTAATACAAAGTAATGTGCATTGATGTCTCTTTGCATTGGTCACAATCCAGCTTCAGTCACAGTAACCTAATTGTGCATAATGAACAGTGATTAAAGATGAAGCTATAATTAGACACATCCCGCTACCTATGTGTGAAGACTTGTTGAGCATTTCAAGGCAAAGGAGGATTCTGTATCTCTGCACTTTTCACTGACGCCATGTGCCCAAGTCTTCCTTGCTGCAGAACAAATGATTTTGGTATAAAGAACAAATACTCTACAGACATCTCCCTTGCTGATCTCTTTTTTCCCATGTTGTTTGATGGCTGCATCCAGGAGCTGATTGTGGATGCCGAGGACACTTGGATCCGCCTAGAAGGGCTTTCAGAAAACACCGAGTACACCGTACGCCTGCAAGCAGCCCAGAATGCTGTCAGGAGTGGGTTCACCTCCACTGTATTCACAACAGGTGAGAGGTCTACATCATCCATACACTCTATTTCATTATTTACTGTAACAGTGATTACCACAAATGTTTTCCACTGAGATCACATGAGGAACTTGACTTTTCAAAGGAAACTGTATGTATTTATTTTCAAGATTTGAAGAAATCATAAGTTTGTTTATTCCAGTTGTGATATAAATAATTTCAGAACAAAATATATTTATTTATTTATTTACCTTACTTATATACCGCTGTTCTCAGCCCGAAGGCGACTCACAGTGGTTCACAACAAATACGAACAGCAAAAATTCAGTGCTACAGTATAAAAACAGCCAACAACCCAACACATTACACAATTAATAAACAGTCACTACAATACCCATTCACTGTCGTCTCGTCATCAAAAACATGTTCCAGATTCGTCATCCATTGTTCAATTCCAGTGTTCATTAACCAATCATTGCTCAAACAGCCAGGTCTTCACTTTTTTGCGGAATACCATTAGAGATGGTGCTAGTCTAATGTCCGTAGGGTCTCCTCATGATGTGGCCAAAGTACTTCAACTTTGTCTCTAGTATCCTTCCCTCCAGTGAGCAGTCGGGCTTTATTTCCTGGAGGATGGACTGGTTGGATCTTCTGGCAGTCCAAGGCACTCTCAGAACTTTCCTCCAACACCACAGCTCAAAAGCATCGATCTTCCTTCGCTCAGCCTTCCCTAAGGTCCAGCTCTCACATCCGTAGGTTACTACAGGGAATACCATGGCTTTGACTAGGCGGATCTTTGTTGCCAGTCTGATGTCTCTACTCTTTACTATTTTATCGAGATTGGACATTGCTCTCCTCCCAAGAAGTAAGCGTCTTCTGATTTCCTGGCTACAGTCTGCATCTGCAGTAATCTTTGCACCTAGAAATACAAAGTCTGTCACGGCCTCCACATTTTCTCCCTCTATTTTCCAGTTGTCAATCATTCTTGTTGCCATAATCTTGGTTTTTTGTTTTTTTATGTTTAGCTGCAACCCGGCTTTTGCGCTTTCTTCTTTCACCTTGATTAGAAGGCTCCTCAGCTCCTCCTCGCTTTCTGGCCATCAGAGTGGTGTCATCTGCATATCTGAGGTTGTTAATGTTTCTTCCAGCAATTTTCACCCCAGCTTTGCATTCATCCAGCCCCGCACATCGCATGATGTGTTCTGCATACAAGTTAAAAAGGTTGGGTGAGAGTATGCAGCCTTGCCGTACGCCTTCCCAATCTTGAACCAGTCTGTTGTTCCGTGGTCAGTTCTGACTGTTGCTACTTGGTCCTTGTACAGATTCCTCAGGAGAGAGACAAGGTGGCTTGTGATGCCCATCCCACTAAGAACTTGCCACAATTTATTATGATTACATGTCTTCAAATATTTATTTTATATATTTATATTTACTATATTTGTATACCGCTCTTCTCAGCCCTGGGGCGACTCAGAGCAGTTAACAATAGCAAAATTCAATGCTCAAAAACATCATAAAACAGTTAAAAACAATTAAAACAGTAGCATAATAAACAGTCAATATAAATCAATAAAACATCTCATTAGTGTCTCATAGTCAAAATCAAGATCCAGTCTCATCATCCATTTATTCCATATTCCTATTTTCATTTCAAATGTATTTCAACAGCATGGATGTTAAAAACATTCGTTGTGATACTGTTTTATTTATTGTTATTTAAAATATTTTTAGCCACTCTTTACACATGGGTCCAACATGGAAATGCTAGACAGTCAGCACCTTTAAAAATCACAGCAGGTAGTAGATATCCAGCATAAAACAAGACAACACTTGGGCAAATTCAATGCAACTCAAAGCCAATTGAGAGAATTCCAGAGATACGGTGCCATAACAGCAAAGGTTCCAGAAGCAAAGACACCTTCATATAGACACAGAACAGGGCCTTGAAAGCAGTCTTATTGCTTGTCCAGGTTCAGATTGAAGCAAAGAGTCTCTGGCCCTCCACATAGTTTGCCCTCCCACCCAGCCCATCACTTACCAGTGGCCAGCTTCCTATAGCATGACCATTTTTTAAAAAATGTGGCACATCACAGAATACCAACTACAGGAAGCAGAGTCCTAGCATCACCTTCTGGAGCCAGCCATCCAAATAGGAGCATAATCCTGCATTAAGTCCCAGCTCAGATAGCAAGGAGAGAAAGGGGATGGAAATTGCTACACACTGCTGTTAGGCCAAGCAATGGTGAAGAATAAAAGGCTCCTGCTAAAAATTGCAATAGCATTTCTCCCTTCATTCCACCCCCAACATCTACTTTATTTTATCCCATATCCTGATGTCCCATTAGGCATTTACCTGCCCCTGTCAGTAGAGCTGAAGAGCAACATTTAATGGCATAGCATGGGAGACATCCGGCTTGACTTCAGAAGGTAGAGTAGGATGGAAGCTTTGGACAACAATTTTGTAGGGGGGGAGGGGTTGTTGTTTTGTTTTGTTTTGTTTTTAATATGGGGCATCATATAATTCTGCCCTGGTTCAGAAAAAAAAACCAAGCTCTGTCAACTGCTTCTCCTACCTATCCGTTCGTGCCAGATTGGTTACAAGAACATATAACAAAGTCACTGCACTGGTTGCCAAGTAGTTTCTGGGCAAAGTACAAAGTGTTGGTTTTGACCTTTAAATCCCTATATGGTCCAGATTAAATTCCTATATGGTCCAGATTAGCTACAGGATCACCTTCTCCCTTACAATCTGCCCCTTTGGACACCTTGGTCCTCTTTAACCAACCAAAACCCAAATAGCAGCCATCAACCAGAGGACCTTTTCATCGGCCACCCCAAGACTGTGGAATGACCTGCCAGAAGAGCTTTGACAGCTAAATCAACTGTCAGAATCAAGATCTATCTCTTGTGACAGGCCTATGCAGTCAATTTTAACTTGTGAATTTTAATCTGCATTTTATTGGTGTTGTCTTATGTGTATTTTGTTATATGTATTTTAAAAGTGTTGTGTTTTAACTCTGTTTTAACCCTGTTGTATTTCACCTCGAGCTGTAAAGAGAGGTAGGTAATAAATTGAAGATGATGATGGCAACAACGACGACAAAACAAACCACACTTTTTAAGTAATGTTGAACACTACAGCCTGCATGCTCCCTTTGTGCTTAAATTTTAGATTAGTTTGTGGAACAAATTGTTGTAATTCAGCTGCTGATGCAATTGGGAGAAGCAGATATATATAAAAAGAATATCTTTGGAGTACACTCTTCTGTAAACACCTTAAGAATATAAACAGCACAAGAGGCTATCCTGGGTGAAATTGCTTCTTCAGAGAGGAATGCTCAAGAAAGGTCGAATCTAATTACAACTCTCACTAAATTGTTCAAACGAAATGGCAAAAAAACACAGAAAGGATCTGCCCACCCAAACAGCATTGAAATCACTCCCTCTATTTTTCTACCTCATAGTCTAACAGGGGTGCTTTGAACCCAAGGCTGATATACTTTTCACTGAGACACATGAAAGGGGCGTTTGAAATGCATGTCAGTGAACAACAGCAGCTATCAATAGCCACAAACCCCACTTGCCTCACACAGCTATAGATCAGTGGCTTCAGCATTATTCTTCCTTCCACTTTAGTTAGTGTAAAAGATTAGAGTGAGTGTGTTGCAAGAGATGAAAATCAAGGCAGAGCTTTCAGATTGATCTTTCTGGCAGATGAAAAGCTTATCAAACCTTCTTGCAGTTCAGTCAGGTTTTTTGTTTGTCTGCTTGTTTGGTTATACTTAGTTGATATCTTTTGATTCTGCACCTTCAGGGACCACTGTATTTACCAGGTGGTACAGTCTGCTGTAGTGAGACCAAGGTTTAGAATAAAACCAACATCATTGCCATGCCATAAAGACTTTGGTGTTATGAGGAACATGACTAAATGAATAGATAAGCAACTGAATTAAAAATCTGGAAATGTGCCCCCCGCCCCCATTTAAAATTTGCCTCTGTCATGAACACACCAGGTAGCATTAGGCAATCTATAAACTGTAGTTTCTGCCTTCCATCTGCAATAGGAAAGTGATGATCTTCACCTCTCATGGAAAGCAGGATGGAGGAGAAGTAGTAGGAGAGGTGTGAGAACTGGAAGACAATGTGAACAGTGGCTTGGGCTGAAATTTTAAGCAGACTTGCTAGAGGGATGTAATGTGTAGGAGTGGGGACCCTGAATTGTATCTAGTTGCCATGTTCCAGCTAACAAGATACATTCACATTCTTCTGACACTCCTCTTAGAGGGTAAACTGAGAGAATCCAAGCACGAAGAAGCACTCAGCAGCTAAGCTCTCCTGCCAATTTGAATGAAGAAAACCAAGGACCTCATCACACTGAGGTCAATAAGCCAGGCAGCAGCATGTGGGATTCGCTATGCAACATGGCAAATCCAGTGGACAGCAGGGGGAAATCATTGCCTCGTGCTGCACATTACCCGGTGCACCCCTTACCTAATCTCATCAGGGGAAGCCTCATAGCCCAGCTTCCCCCATTTTTCTAAATGAGAACATAGGGAGCCTCCCGTGTTCTCTGGGAAGCATCCTAGCATGCTGCCAGGATGCTTTCTCTATGGAGCCTCGCCAGAAGTAGCTTCACATCATGTGATAACATAAGGCAAGCTTCATTGAGGAAGCATCCTGGAAGCCTCCTAGGACCCTTCCCTTTCTCCGTGTGATGAAATAATAAATCACATGCATGCTATAAAGGATTGAAGCTTATTTGGGGTATATAAATCCCCAAACACTGAACATCAATTATAAATGAATGTGGCTTCTTTAATTACAAATTGAACGCAAAAAGCTGTAATGAAGCTGGAACTTTCTTCTGGCCAAAAAATCTTTTGAAAGAACTCTGGCTCCCACCAAACTTAAAAGCAATGTCAAGCCCTTGGTTAATACAGGTATCTTTAGCTAGAATGTGCTGGATTCGCATTCAGGCCTGTGTACTGAGGTAACACTGAAATGATTTCTTCTTTAAAATATTTGCTGCCACCAATAGA